AGCAGCATCACGAGCAGTACGACGAGTAGTACCACGAGCAGCATCATGAGTAGTACAACGAGCAGTATCATGAGCAGTACAACGAGCAGTATCATGAGCAGTACTCCGTGTACTGACCTGGACTTTGTCTCCTCCTCCGGACACTTTGGACACGTAGCTCATGATGAATTTGGCAGCAACAGTTTTTCCAGCTCCACTTTCACCGCTGACAGGAAACAGGAAACATCAGTCTTAACACATTAATTTACCTTCAGAAAATATCTGATGAAGCCCCGCCCACACTGTCCTGTTACAGATGTTTTATAACTTTTTGATCGATTAGTCATCAATATTTAATGAGAGAAACACTGACAGGTGTTGTTGTTGTTGTTTGCGTCGGTTAGTCCCGCCTACCTGATGATGACACACTGGTTCTCGTTGTCAATCAACATGTTTCTATACATGTTGTCAGCCAGAGCGTAGATGTGGGGGGGGTTCTCATACTGAGCCTGGAGGAAGAAGGTCAACATGTTATTGATCTTATATTTGTGGGGACCAGTTTAAGTTTAACATATTAACAGCGACGATATTTAGCAAATAAGAACATTTCTGAATTTAATACATTTATATGTTGTGTGTTGTATTGTTGTATTATGTTGTTGTATTGTGTTGTATTGTTGTATTATGTTGTTGTATTGTTGAGTTGTTGTTGTTGTCGCACCGCTCCTTGGTAGAGCTCCACTTCTCTGTCAGTGAAATAAGGAAGCTGTTTGAACGGATTCACAGAGATCAGAACTGGACCGATGTAGGTCTGAACAGAACCAGGTTAAGGACCAGAACCAGAACATTTGAACCACTTCATCTCTAAAACTCATAATGTTGTTGAGTAAACATGAGGTGAGGATACGAAGATGTAGTCGTCCATGTATCTCTTCTTCAGGTTCTCCGTGATGGCGTCCTCGTTGATCTTGGACAGCAGCACCATGTCGTCCACGCCGCTCACCTTCACGTTCTGAGCCAGCCAATGGTAACGCTCCTTACTACCCTAAGGGGCGGGGCATAAACACAGAGACAGTCAGCTGATCACGTCAATCACATCATGTAGGTAGGTAGTCTGGGTTAGGTAGTCCGGGTTAGGTAGTCCGGGTTAGGTCGTCCGGGTTAAGTTGTCTGGGTTGGTTAGTTTAGATAAATTGGTTGTCCGGGTGGCCCGGGTTAGGTAGTCGGGATAATGTATTAGATCCAGATTAGGTATTAATATATTAATATGTATATTATTCAATATTAGACTTTTATCACAATGTGGTTTCACTTATTTTACTGAAGTCAAAGATCTGAAAACTGTTTGTTCAGCAGAAACTTCCTGCGTGTCTGTGCGTGTATGTGTGTTTTAGTATGTGTGCGTGTGTGTGTCTCTCTCGGTGTGCTAGCAGTTGATTGGTTCGATCGTTTCTCCTTCCTGAAGAATTCCCAGCATTCCTTCTGTCCTGTGGGATCTTGTTGAGGAGCGGCAACGCCCGACATGTAGCTCTCTGTGTGTGTGTGTGTGTCTCGTCAGATTAGTCAACGTTTGTAAATTAACTAAAAACATAAAACTGACTAAACAGAGAAAATATGGATTCTAGTTTAAATATATATTACATCTGAAATGATCGATCGATTAATGTACACGTTAAGAGCAGATTACAAAATTAACAATAATAATATTCATCATTATTATAAAGATAACAATAATTGCAATATCGTAATAATAAAAGTAATAATAATCTTTATCTGCTGTAAATATATAAAGTTACTCATCTTTCATTGTTTCTGCAGTAAAAATATAAAAACATGTAAATATTAGAACAATAATGAGATTAAACTAAATACATTTTATTAACAAAGTTTATAAAAAACTGGAAATAAAATCAGAAATTATGAAATCAAAAATATGTATTTATAAAATGAAATCAAGACAAAAAGAGAAAAGATGGAAATAAAATATTTAAATGATTTTATGTTCAGTGAAACATCTGAGGGTGTAATTTACTTCATACATAATATCTTTATCACGTTTATTTATTTAGATTAAATTAGAAAATACACGTTTATATATTTATTTATACTTACTTTCATTCACTCATTTATTGTTACTTTTTTATTTTTTTTAACTTAAAAAGAACAAAAACATGTGATCAGCAGCAGAAATCTGATCAGGGATCTGTTCCTGCAGGACCGGGACCCGGAACCTGACCAGGACCAGAACCGGGTTTGGGTCCCGTTTCAAACAGCTCGTAGTCTGAAGTAAAGAGTCGCGCTCACCATGTCTGCTTCACTTCCTGCTTCTTCAGGTAAATGTTGAGAAATCTTCAGTCAGTCTCAGGTGGATCAGGATCCAGGTGGACTCGGACTGATCCCGGATCAGCTCAGTCCGGATCCGCTGAGTTGGGATCAGAGGATCAGAAGGATTCTGTTGGTCTCAGAGACATGTTGTCCTCTCTTAGTCTTCTGTTGTTCTTGCTCCAGTCTTCAGGCTAAACTCTCTGCAGGTGTGGGCAGGTGAAGCCCCGCCTCCTCCTTCTCCCCTTGCTGCCACATGTGGAACTCTGGGTAATGTAGTCCTGACAGTGTCCAAAACTACTAAACTTAGTTTCTGCAGAACTTTTATTCTGAAATGTTTTCATTTATTTTATTTGTGGACAAAATTAATTCAAGTTACATTTCTTTATAAAAATAAAAACGTGTTGAATGTTCAATATTGGTTTGATATTTAGATATTATTAATTAATTAATATATATATATATATACATTTAAATATACATATAACCCGTTAATATATATATATGTAATAAATATATTTAATTCTTGAAGGTACAGACGTCTGTGTTTTTATAAAACTCCCAATAAAAATATTCACAGAAAATTAATTTTCGTTTCTTTAGATTCAGTTTTTTATTTTATTAATCTGATCTACCTTTTAATCTTCACTTTGTTTTATTTATTTATTTAATACAAAACTATAATCGCCACCTTAACGTGGTGGAGGAGTTTGAGTGGCTCAGTGATCCTGGGAGCTATGTTGTCCGGGGCATTAGCCCCTGGTAGGGTCTCCCAAGGCAAACAGGTCTCGGGGGGAGAGCCCAGACTAAGAGCGGTTCAAACGACCCTAATGATAAGCAGCCCACGGACTTTAGCCACCTCGCCCGGACCAGGGACACCGGGGCACCCTCCCGGAGAGACCCAGGAGGGGAGCTCGTCGGTGAGCGTCTGGTGGCCAGGCCTTCGTCCATGGGGCCCGGTCGGGCTCAGCCCGAATAAACAGCATGGAGCAGCCACCCTGTGGACCCACCACCCACAGGGACAAGCATCGGGGTCGGGTGCAATGCAGACCGGGCGGCGGGTCAGGCGGGAGGCCTGGGCGAGCCGATCACCGGCAGCATAGACTAGCTCTAGGGACGTGGAACGTCACCTCACTGGCGGGGAAAGAGCCAGAGCTGGTGCAGGAGGTGGAGCGATACCAGCTAGATATAGTTGGACTCACCTCCACACACAGCGCTGGCTCTGGAACCAAGCTCCTGGAGAGAGGTTGGACTTTGTCCTTTTCCGGAGTTGCCCAGGGTGAGAGGCGCCGGGCGGGAGTGGGGATACTCACGAGCCCCCGGCTGAGCGCCGCTGTGTTGGAGTTCTCCCCGGAGAACGAGAGGGTCGCCTCCATGCGCCTACGGGTTGTGGGGAGCAAGGCTCTGACTGTGGTTTGTGTTTATGCACCAAACAGCAGTTCAGAGTATCCGGCCTTCTTGGAGTCGGTGGGAGGGGTCCTGGAAAGGGCGCCACCTACCGACTCCATAGTTCTCCTGGGGGACTTCAATGCTCACGTGGGCAATGATGGAGAAACCTGGCGGGGGGTGATTGGGAGGAACGGCTTGCCCGATCTGAACCCGAATGGTGTCTCGTTATTGGACTTCTGTGCTTGCCACGGTTTGGCCATAACGAACACCATGTTCGAACATAAGGTGGCTCATAAGTGTACCTGGTACCAGAACACCTTAGGCCGGAGATCAATGATCGACTTTGTAATCGTATCATCTGATCTGTGGCCGTATGTCTTGGACACTCGGGTGAAGAGAGGAGCAGAGCTGTCAACTGATCACCACATGGTGGTGACTTGGATCAGATGGCAGGGGAACCGGTTGGAAAGACCCGGCAAACCCAAACGTGTAGTGAGGGTGAACTGGGAACGTCTGGCGGAGGACCCTGTCCGGGAGGTCTTTAACTCCCACCTCCGGAAGAACTTCTCTCACATCCCGAGGGAGGTTGGGGACATGGAATCCGAATGGACCATGTTCAAAGCCTCTATTGTGGACGCGGCCGCTAGGAGCTGTGGCCGGAAGGTCATCGGTGCCTGTCGTGGCGGCAACCCGAGAACCCGGTGGTGGACACCGGAGGTGAGGGAAGCCGTCAAGCTGAAGAAGAAGACCTTCAAGGCCTGGTTGGCCCAGGGGTCTCCCGAAGCAGCTGACAGGTACCGGCAGGCCAGAAGGGCTGCAGCTGCGGTGGTCGCGAATGCTAAAACTCGGGCATGGGAGGAGTTCGGGGAGGCCATGGAGGACTTTCGGTTGGCCTCAAGGAGGTTCTGGCAAACCATCCGACGGCTCAGGAAGGGAAAGCAGGGCTTACCCCAGGCTGTTCTCAGCGGGGAGGGGAACTGCTTACCTGGACAGGGGACATCGTCGGGCGGTGGAAAGAGCACTTTGAGGAACTCCTAAACCCGACCAACATGTCCTCTGCAGAGGAGGCAGCGCCTGAAGATCTAGGGGGAGGCTCACCCATATCCCTGGCAGAGGTCGCTGAGGTAGTCAAAAAGCTCCTTGGTGGCAAGGAACCGGGGGTGGATGAGATCCGCCCTGAGATGCTGAAAGCGCTGGACATAGTTGGGCTGTCCTGGCTGACACGCCTCTTCAATGTCGCATGGGGGTCGGGATCAGTGCCCATGGACTGGCAGACCGGGGTGGTGGTTCCCATTTTCAAAAAGGGGGACCGGAGAGTGTGCTCGAATTACCGGGGTATCGCACTACTCAGCCTCCCGGGGAAGGCTTATGCCAGGGTGCTGGAAAGGAGGCTCCGACCGTTTGTCGAACCTCAGATACAAGAGGAGCAATGCGGATTCCGTCCCGGCCGTGGAACAGTGGACCAGCTCTTTACCCTCGCAAGACTACTGGAGGGGTTCTGGGAGTTTGCCCAACCAGTCTACATGTGCTTTGTGGACTTGGAGAAGGCTTTCGACCGGGTCCCTCGGGGGTTCTTGTGGGGGGTGCTGCGGGAGTATGGGGTGCCGGACCCATTACAACGGGCGATCCGGTCTCTGTACGACTGCAGTAGGAGCTGTGTCCGCATTCTCGGCAATAAGCCAGACACGTTCCCGGTGGGTGTTGGCCTCCGCCAGGGCTGCCCTTTGTCTCCGGTCCTGTTCGTGACTTTCATGGACAGGATATCTAGGCGCAGCCTGGGGGTGGAGAACGTCAGGTTCGGGGGTCTCGGGATCGCCTCTCTGCTGTTTGCAGATGATGTGGTCCTGTTAGCCTCCTCGGATCGTGACCTCCAGCATTCACTGGGGCGGTTTGCAGCCGAGTGTGAAGCGGATGAGATTTAGCGGCGGGGATGAGAGTTAGCACCTCCAAATCTGAGGCCATGGTGCTCTGCCGGAAACTGGTGGATTGCTCCCTCCAGGTGGGGACGGAGTGCCTACCTCAAGCGAAGGAGTTCAAGTATCTCGGGGTCTTGTCCACGAGTGAGGGTAAGATGGAGCGGGAGATCGACAGACGGATCGGTGCGGCTGCAGCAGTAAAGCAGGCGCTGCACCGGACCATCTTGGTGAAGAGGGAGCTGAGCCGGAAGGCAAAGCTCTCAATTTACCACTCGGTCTACGTTCCTACCCTCACCTATGGTCACGAACTCTGGGTCGTGACCGAAAGGACAAGGTCGCGGTTACAAGCGGCCGAAATGAGTTTCCTCCGTAGGGTGGCCGGGCTCAGCCTTAGAGATAGGGTAAGGAGCTCGGTCATCAGGAGGGAGCTTGGAGTCGAGCCGCTACTCCTTCGCGTCGAAAGGAGTCAGCTGAGGTGGTTCAGCATCTAATTAGGATGCCTCCTGGACGCCTCCCACTGGAGGTTTTCCAGGCACGTCCAACTGGGAAGAGACCCCGGGGAAGACCCAGAACACGCTGGAGGGATTACATCTCCCAGCTGGCCTGGGAACGCCTCGGGATCCCCCAGAATGAGCTGGAACATGTTGCCGGTGAGAGGGAGGTCTGGGTCAGCCTGCTTGGCCTGCTGCCACCGTGACCCGACCCCGGATAAGCGGAGGAAAGTGGATGGATGGATGGATGGAAAACTATAAATCATCTTCTTGTGAAGCCACATTGACCACTGACAGGAAGTGAAAACTCAGAGTGCATGCTGGGAGCTTGAGTCTGACCGAGTTCTTTTCAGCTCATTAGAAACTGAACTGAATCGATGTTTTTGAGTTTTAAGCAGTAAATGTGGTTTCACTTTAGTTTTTCTTAAATGTCATTTAAAGCGGTCCAGCTCTCGTGTGTCTGGAGACCCTCAGACACGAGCCTAAAGCCCCCCCCCCC